CAGTTGAGCACAGGTTAAGCGGTCATTCAGAGCGGCTGTAGCGGAATGTAGGTCAGTGGGCAGATTAATCTGCTAATTAGCCAGCTAATGTTTCTCCAACGTAACAACTTAAACTACTTGGGAATTTATTCTTATAAGCACAGCGACACCACTAAAATATGCCACATTCACTCAAAGTCTCTATGACATGTGCGGCATGAGGTTGAATAGATTTATTTTATGTGATAAACGAGCATGTGTCCACTGAGATGCGTGAAGATCAAGCAGCTCAAATGAGGCGACTAGCAGGTGTGGAGCGAGCTAATGTGCTAACAGCTAAACAGCTCAAGATTCAGCGATGACATTTGTTGTCTATAGTCTACACAGAAACACACACGCACACACCCTGTTTTCCACCGGCTCGCTGCTCTCTGCTTCACACCCCGTGCTGCTTGTTGTGGTTTCTGTGCTGAAACAGGAATTCAGCTCCCGTCATTTCCAACAGGTCCCTCTGCGCGCACCTTCCCACTAGCAACACTATTCCCGGAAATCACGGACCTTCTCCGGGAATCTTGGGATTAGTAGTACGTTTAGATGGACAGGGTTCTACACAAAGCAAGAGCTTTATGTGTTGTGCTACAGAATTGTCAATGAACTAACTGTGCCTCACAGTATTGTGTTACTCGATTTTTTAAAGACTTTTGCTGTTCTAAACTATTTTAGATATATAATTTAGTTTCATAACAGTTCTGAAACCATGTTTTAATTAGAACTGAAATGACAAGGTTTAAAACAAATATATGTGCTCTGCATTTATACCAATTATTATAGGCTACTGTTATTATGCTGTGTGTACTGTACAGTTGATGGATGGACGGATATATCTTGTGAAATCTTCATTCATTAATTTTCCATTGGCTTAGTTATTTTATTCATCATGAATCACCACAGCAGAATGAACCACCAATATTCATTCAAAGCAAGGATAATATTATTCTTCAAAATAATGTCTTATTTCTTTTGGCTGCAATAAAATCTCATTTTAATTTCTATTTAAAAAAAAAATAAATAAACAAAAGAAAATTAAGGTCAATATTGTTAGCCCCTTTAACCTTTTATGGCTTAGTGGCTACATGGTGTCCACTGTTTCTTAGTGGACAGCACATTTTAGCTCTTAAGTGGTTATTTTAAATACTTAAAATGTTTTATATTTTGTTACAGACATACAGTGTCATCCTGCAACTGTTTTGCAGCATATGAAATGTCCCAAACACTATTTCTAACTGTCCAAAATGGGGATTTTTTTTTTTTTTACTCTGATAGTCAAAACATGTTTAAAAAATATGCATGTGTTATTAATGTATTAAAAAACAGTCAGGAAAAAGTGTTTTTTTTTTTGTAAATTAGGACCACAAGTCTACATATATGGATATATTTTTTTCTCTAAATGTGCTTTATATAAGAAGATGATACTTAGGTTTCTTTTCTAATTAGGTTTCAATAAGCCCAAATAGCAAAGAGAAATAAAAAAATACATGTAAAACACCTTGGGCCTTAAGCGGATATGATGATTGGCTATAGAACAGGCAGACACTGACTTGCCTATTTAAAACTAACTTGCCTAGTTAACCAAATTAAACTCGTTATGCCTTTAAATTGCACCTTAAGCTAAATGCTATCTTGCCAAATAACTAGTAAAATATTATGTACTGTTATAAAGAAAATAAAACTGTAAGAAGTAAATTTTTAAAGCTATTTTGTTATAAAAAGTTGAAAATACATCCTCCCCCTTAAACAGCAATTGGAAATTATATTTACCTCAAATAATTGCACACATTTTACAAACCACAACTGCCATTAGAAATACACAACACAACACACACTTGAAAAAATGGATGCAGATCCACTTTCAATAAAAGCTAAACACTTGATAGGACACCTATCATAAGAAAAAAAATCTTTTGTAAGCTGTTTGGACAGAACTGTGTGCAGGTATATTGTGTCCACAGTCATATTGGAGTGATAGAAACACAAGAAGTCACTCTTTTTTTAATTTCCTGATATTAAAATAGACTCCAAATCCTTCCCATTTTGAAGCCCACCACAACATGGCGTAGAAGTGTGATTTCCCAGTCCACCGAATTGATTGACAGCTGCGTATTAACATGTCTCTGTAGTAATGTGTATAATTATATCAACAAGACAGGTCTTGTGCAAAGCAACTCACATCAAAACATCTGTTTAGCTCTGTGATCATCTGCTTCGCAAGAATGTTTTACAAGTTTAAAATGTTTTAAAAGTGTATGTTTGTAATAGACAGTAAAATCGCTACCTAATTCATCACCACAGCCACATTTCAGTACAATTATAAAAGAATATGCTTCAACCCCGGTGTGTGGACGTTAAATCAGGTTTACCTTGTACAGTACTTTAAAATAATGGATGTCCATACAGCAGTGTATTTTAATGTGTCCTGTCACATTTTTCGTGCAAAAATAAATGCACTGTGTGTGTGTGTGTGTGTGTGTGTGTGTGTGTGGGCCCGTGTGTGAACTTTATATAATGACATTGTGAGCGACTCATCGTTGCAGAAAGGCTTGAGAATTAACTCCACAACAAATACATCAAATAATCATTGGGGAAGTTCTTACTGTAAATTTTTTCACAAATGTTACATGCAATATGCTTCCTTAATGTCTGTTACTCTGCTGTTTATCTGATGCAGTAGATGGAGACAAGTCAGAGCCATCTCTGGCTCATACAGGCATGTGGGAATGGTGGGTAGGGAGAATCAGCTCATTTGCATTAAAGGCACAGACAACAAAAACAGCTACATTGTACTCAGATCTGAAAATTGCAATATTCTAAAAGGTATAATAAATAATCTGATGGGTGTTTTGAGCTGAAACTTTACAGACACATTTTGGAGACACAAATGACGTATATTAAACCTTAAAAAAGGGGTAAAATCGGTCCCCTTTAAAAAGTGTTTAAATATGATTCAGACTGTTTACAAAATTACGAGATTGTGTTTATTTTAGATTATTAAAACTGTGGTTTTACTTTTTGAGACACCTGAATGTTTTCCCAATTTTTTTCTTCTCTAGTCTAATAAAACCACAACTTTGCCCTTAAGAATGAACAGGCTTTTAAAAGACAGACATCATGGACCCCAGTCAAACGCTCCCCTGATAGCTTTTAAACTCCTCTCCTCGGCTCTAACATGTTTTTTTTCCAGGAGGTGAAGAGTGATCAAAAGATTTTCAAAATCCTCGCCGGCTCTCCCCGTCCCATCCCGACCCCCTCCGCACTGGTGTCACCTTCAAATACCTCCCCTTTGAAGCAGCATCTGACAGGCTGACAGCGCAGATAATTGACGCCGTGCAAAAAAACAGAGGCCAAAGATGGCGAGGTGTTTTTAATTCTTCACTTCTTCAGAGTTGTTCTCCCTACACCATCCCCAACAACTCCGCACCTACTAATTAGCAACTGAACCCTGTAATCCCATGCGCATATAATTATATCTTCATTTATAATACAAACTCTTCTTCATTCAGTTCTTTAATGAAGCTTTTGAATTGACATAATCTGTGTGTATCTACCATGTATTTGTATAAAAATAATTAATAAAATATCTGGACAGCAGTTTCGAATGAGATTTTAAATATTGAAGAATGTTTAGTGACAGCTTTTGAAGCTACACATCAGAAAGAATGATCATCTTTTCATGGGAGTTTAAAGACTGACAGACATGTTAAAGTAAAATCTTATTAGCACTGGGAAGTGCTGCTGTGATTGACAACTAGGAAAGGCAGCGGGAGAGAGAGAGAGAGAGTTTGGGTAATCATATCAGTGTGTGTGGGCATTTCGTTCAAAGCGGAAAAATCCTAACCTCCCACACCTCCAGACGCCATTTCTCTCGACAGCCAGGGTCACACTAAATCAGACTGGGAAATGAATTGGCACTGCCCACACAAGCGGGGGTAAATGCGAAATGTCAGCTGGTGTTCAGAGGAGGAAGTTAAGCCACATGAATACTGACAGCGAGAGACTTCAACTCCCTTGAGGCACAATTAACAATACCTACCTCACCACCAGTGACCGCTGCTTAGCGAAGGCAAGTTAAAAGTCGCTTGCCCACAGCGCTGCCCCTTAGACAGGCTACTGGCTCAAACCAGTAGAAAGATCATTCAAGCACGATGAGAATTTAATGACCGAATGACCACAGGGCCACTGCAATGTATTGGATGCTTTAAACATCGATTTTTACAGCCCAGACAGAGCCAGAGAGGAGACACTTAACACAGCCTCGTGAAGCGGAGCGCGATACGCCTTTATGGATTTTAACGAGAAGACCCTGATCTGACTTCTGTAATGAGCGACTGCTGGAAATCCCACTGCTATTGAAATGTCAGGGAGGAGGAAGAAGAAACAAGGAAAAAAAAAAACTTTTCAAAACAAGAATCAAGTTAGCACTGTATAGATGCTTGCAAAAATGAGAGCTAATTATACATGCGCAACTGCCTTTATATTGTTCAGTCCATCAAATAGACCCGAGATATTTCTTGTTCTTCCATCAGCCTGGTGAAGAGGGGACTAAAGTGGTTTGATTGCCTTGCCCTGATTTGCACAGCTCTGCTAATAGCCTGAGTTAATGAGGGTTTTACGAGTGGTGTGATCACTTTATTGGGACGTACGGCATCAATAGAAGCCTCTCGCCTCAATAGAGTTGGCTTATGAAGCCGCCCTTGCAAATTGACCTGAAGATTTATAAAGCAATTTTAAAAGGTCCACAACCCAGCCGACAGTCCCAAGCCTTGGAATTAAAACCTCATTGGATTTCACTTTTCATTTGAATAAAGATAAGTTTGGACACTGCGAGCGCTAAAAGTGAGGTCGCCGGTAATGAACTGCTTTGTGCTGTCAGGATCAAAGCCTGAAGGCTATTGAGATCTTTGACCTGCAAGAGACATTCAGAGAGACATTTCCTCCGATATCAGAAGGTCAAACTGACAATCAGCTTCTCAGACAGCTTTATTTTTTCAAACAAAGGAAACGTATGTACATACACTTCCAAGACAGCAATGCCACAGTGTGACTCATTCGCTCTCGATAATAAGCCACAAAGGAAAGCTTCTCAAAAGTTTTTCTTTTTTTCATGCTGACAAAATAAAGATGTCTGTGACAGTGCAGAGAGAAAATGAATTATGTTTGATCCCAGGGCTTTATCATCACTCTCCAGATGTGACTGAAAAGAGTTTAGATAAGATGTGAAATCCTCCACCCTTTTCTCCTTCAGGGAGCCTACTTCTCCTCTTTTTTTCTGTTTAAATGAGAAAACAGAACCACATCTCTGACAATGGTAAAATTAAAAGAGTTCAAAGAGCCATTGCAGCCCAGCCAACGATGAGCAATGACCCTCCAATTGGTGCCAGCTTGCTGAAACTGGGGTCATTGGTTAAGGCCTGGTGGTAAAGGGGACCACAGAAGCAGCCCATGCCAGTGAGGAGGATTACGCCAGCCTTAAAAGAGGAAGAAATGTTTATTAGTATATGTGATTGCTAATGGTTTGTTTTTTTTATCAAGTTCAATCAATTCTGTATACAAGCTCGGCTGCTTCATCCAGTTACATTGCAAAACAAAATACATTATGGGCCCTATCATACACCCGGCGCAGTGTGGCGCAAGGCGTGACGCAGTAGTCTTTTGGTAGTTTAAGCTTGGCGCAAGAGTCGTTTTGAGGCGTTGCGCTACGCTGTTTAAATAGCAAATGCATTAGCGCTCATTTTTGCGCCCATAGGCGTTCTGGTCTAAAAAGGAAGGCGTTCTGAGGCGGACCGCTGGCGCGTTGCTATTTCGAGAAACTATAATAGATTTTTCATTAGACCAAAACTAACCCGGTCTAAACTCCGGCGCAGAGTTGCGCCTCGCTTACGCACTGCTTAATAAGCACAAGAGAGCAATAGGCAAATTTCTTTACATATGAAAAATGTAAATATTAAGGATACATATAGGATATAATAAGAATAGATATAGAATATAAATATAAAGGATTAAAATATTACAAAACATTATTTTCTAGCCTACATAAATATGAAAAACTACTGCTTTTATGTCTTCTTCATCTCGGGAGGCTTTATCAGTTCATTCATAACAATTTGCTTTTGTATAATGTTATTATTATTAGCCATATTATTTATTATATCCATATGTATATTTGTTTTATTAAAAGCAAGCTTAGATTTGCCCACCTGTCAGGTTTTAGACCATATGGGGCAAAGTATGTGTTTTAGGATATAACTCAGGTTTTTGAGCACATTTTGCTATTATTATTCATTTATTCGTTTGCTGGAAATTAGAACTGAATTTAGAGATAGTTTTGAAACGAATATTTGCACTTAACAAACAAAAGTATTTATTTATAGACAAATTGATGTCTGTGCGTAAAGGTTTCCCTATTTAAGAGTGAAAGTGAAAGTGATCCATTATCTCTCATTCTCACGCAGTAGATGCTCTGTTTAACAGTTTTCTGTTAAAAAACTGTTTGCTTGTGAAATGCTCATTTTATTCATTAATTTGAAAAATTCTACTTGACAGTTGTAAGGATCCAAAATATCAGACCATAAGAACTGTTATGGAATTTCATGAGACAAGATGCAATGTTCCAATAGATTTTCTAATCTGAGAAGTGATGAAGAAACCAACTGTTCCACTGTTCTATTCAAATCACTGTTGACAATACAATCACAGGCTGGAGAAACAGAGCTACTCAACAGCAGGGGGTAATGCGAAGAAGTCCCCCTTCTCCTTCCACTTAAACCCCCCTTCTTGACCCTTATGTTACCTTCTGATTAGAGCACATTTCACATAAAATGTTCAAGGTTTTAATATGGTGTATCTTGCATCACTATATTCATGTTTGGTATCATTTTAAATGTCTCTGTGTGATTGGTAAAGTGGTCTTAATTTTACAGTAATATTTTACTGGTATATGTTGATTTGGTTTTTGACTTCTATAAGATCTTGATAAGATGCTCTCCCTCCTAAGAGATGGTTAAGTCCTCAAATTGACCAGGTCAGGGTTTCTGTGACACTTCTATTGTCTTGAATTTATGGCTGTTTGTTTTGACTTGAGTATATAAGGTAAGATGTGCTTTAGGACAGGGGGAGATCTTGTAAAAAGACACCCCATTGCAGCATCTCTGAGACTTATGCTGCAATGTATTTCTGTGGTCAGGTATGCATCTCTTAACTCTTTGATTTATCTTTGATTAATGGATGTTGTATTGTTACAGTCTCATCTCTGAATTGGCTTCCTGATGATTTATTATGTAATTGGCAGAATACAATTTTACCTGACAAATAAAATTTAAAGTTTTGATTAATTCTGGAGTTTTGCGAATTCATTGTATCCAGTAGATTATGTGGAGTCTCGTTACCCTTATCGTACGGCATAATCGAAATTGATTTAATTGGCGCATTTGATTATTCGTAGCCATTGCGTGCCGATAACATGTAGACCTTTTAATCATTCGACCACTGGGAATAGCAAGTTGTATGGGCTTGGCTAAGGATCTGTTTTTTTAAGACTAGGTAAGCGTTAATGCGACCAGCTTATTCAAATATAGTTAATCCTGCATCCTCTGACTATTTTCAGAGTGCCGACATATTGTCCGTGAGAAGAAACGCAAACCCGGGGCGTGGAACTCTGAGCGACGTAGGTCCCTAATGAACGTACAATTAGAATATCGAACCTCAGAAAATATCAAAACTCTAAATTAAATCATAAATGATGAATGTGATCCGTTCTTACAATTAGAAATATAATCTAAATTTTAGGATCATTTAAATTGGAGTCAGATTTAATTCGGAGCTAAAAAATTTATATAAATAAATTCTAATAAATAATAAAATTCTTTTCATAAGCACTAGAAAAGGCTTACATGCATTAAACCTTCGACCATGCTGTTAGTTTCGTCATTGGGCTAATAGATGGACTCCTACAGTTGGTGACCGTCCCTCCGTGATCTCCCAGAAAGATTAAGGCGAGTGATGTCTTTTCAGTGCGATATGCAAAAGAAATGCTCCGAAAAGAGGTTTGAGTTTCTCTTCTTCCAACTACTGGGGTAAGTCAATTCTTATTTGCCTTTTAGAAGTGTTGAGGGAAAGATAAATGCATCCCATATAGACACATGTTGTAGAATGAGTCGGAAATGCTCAATATTAGATCGGAGTCCGTAACTCCATGGGGCTGAGAATTAGACAAAACCAATTCCTCTCAGGGATATAATAGCAGCAGTGTAGCGGAAGAAGTGCTAAAAACTCAAAAATCTAAGATCTCTTTAAGAGATTGCATTACAAATGGAATAACATCATTCAGATTTTATTCTGATACTCAACAGAGAGCTGTAAATAAACACCTAAATTCTAAATATAATAATTTCCATTAAGGATTGTTTCTTGAATATGTTGCAACATTGAATACAAGCAGCAGTTATATTTTAAGAATTTACAAAAAGTTGTAATCAGATGAACTGAAAATTCTTGCTAGAATCTTTTGTATGTGAATGTAAAAAGGGCATATACTGTACAGTACTTTTAAATTTATAAATAGGGAATTTCCAAAAGAAAAACTTTCTCTCCAAACAGAAAACATTAGACCTGGTATTTTCTTTAGAATTTGAATTCTTAAAGAAGTAATTTAAAGCATTCACTAAAAGAATGTAGAAAAAGCAGGTTCTTTTGTTTTACTGTTTGGAGAAATTGTTGAAATAACCTTCATATTGGGAAATACTGCTCACATGTAGTTCAGGAAACTGACCCAGTAATATTTACATCCAAAATGTAAAAAGAAATATGATTGTAATGCCATAGAAGCTTCTAACAAAGCCTGTGAATTATTTTCATTAAAGGTTAATCTTTGATATTTCTAATTTTATAAATTAAATGTAATAAAACTCTTTCAAGAGATATGTAAAAACACTGAAAATAGTTTTTTAAATGCTGTTTAAGACTCAGTCTAAATAGTAAAATTATTACACTCTTATGAGTTTCAAAACTATAAGGCAGAAAAGGAAATGGTCAGTGTTGGGAGTGTTACTTTAAAGACAGAAGAAACTAAATTAATTACATCACTATGGTGGTAGTTAATTTTTGTTTCTAATGGCTTTGCCTGAAAAGTAACTCAGTTAATCAATAAGTAATTCAATTGCTTGTCTAAAGATTAAAATTCCACATAAATTCCATGGGTAATAGAGATAAAACAAACTGGAATTTTTAGTGTTGTTTTAAGAGAAGACACACTGCTTCAAATAAATGACACTATATTTTCATAAATTTACATTTCATTATTTGGGATTTAAATAAAACAGTTGAAATTATACATAACACTTAGGTCAAGTATATTGTAAGTAGCTGCAATTAAATTACATAAGGAGAAGTAATTCTTTACTTTGCTCTTTGTGAAAAGTAACTTTATATTGCAGTGACTGTTTACTTTGCAACTAATTACCCCAACACTAGACCTGATAAGATCATAAATCTAGAAGGGGTGAATTCTGCATTTGCCCTGAGATACCCAACTTTCAAAACATTCACATATCAAAGAAGATCTACTAAAGAATGCTCTTCTGCTAACATAGCTCAAAATAAGAAAAGTGTGATTAACTCACAAAATCTTTAACCCGAGCAATTATTGACTTGTGCTTTCAAGCAGTATGTGCTTGCATTTCACTAAATGCAAGTTTACGACTGGCTCCCAGTGTAACTTGATCCGGTGCACAGAGAGAATATCTAAGAACAACTGAAGCACATGGTCAAATCAGAAGCAAGACTTCTTAAAAGATCAGTAAGTTAATGTTCAGTTTCTCTGATTGCTCAGCAGACTCTACAGGGTACAGTAATAAAATTTATTCTAAATTCGTTCCATTTTAAGATAATATAACTTATCATAACAACATCATGATATTTTATATTACCACAGCCTATAATGGCATTTAATTCTCAAAAATGATTCAGCATGATTTAAGAAGGGAAAAGAAAATTGAATAGGTGTAAAATGGATAAAGCAGGGGGGAAATGAAAGTAAATGCATGCAGCAAGAAAATAGTAGGGATCTTTATTAATATTACAGCATTAAAAAGAAGTAAGTAGATAAGAGGGAAAACTGAAAGGAAAAATAACAAGAAAGAATTTCTTAATCTTCTAATTATGCGAGAGTCTTTAATGAGAACTCAACTTGCCCAAAATTTGCCAGCTAAACTGATCGACCTGATTAGATTAAAAATACTCTCGGTAAATGTCAACCCACGATAGTAATGACTTTATTAGTTAACTAGGCAGGGTTATAGGCTGATTGCGTTTTCATATTTGTAATTGTGTTGGACACTTTTTCATTTCCATAAAAACATATAATAATTGTTTGTGTTACTAAAAGTACACCTATAATTTAGTTCACACGATTGTCTTACTATAAGTGAGAAACAATTATGTTTTTATGGTAAATATGCTTATCTCCTTAAAG